GCTTGATCATCTAAATCCAGCTCATGAGTGGAACGTTTGATAATCATCCCAAGTTTATGAACATACTGAGAGGCAAGACTATTGACATTTGCATCAGAACCACAGTACCTCTGAATCCCTTCAATATGTTTCTCCAAAACGTTTTCTTCAGGAATCCCAAGATAGATCATAGACATAGTTTGCTGCTGAATCTCATTACATATATAAGGAATCTTCTTAGCGCCAGGACCAATAGCATCTCTATCAAGAGGTCCATGACAAACAAACCCAGCTTTGTTCACATGTCGTCTCTCATTGTATATGAGAAGCGCAAGAGAAGGACGAGCATAGAGTCGTTTAACCACAAAATGACAAGTACATCCTCTCATAGACTGAGGTCTCGCAGCTCGGTTTCTAGTGTTGAGACGGTACTTTCTGCTGGGCAAAACACCACCACCTTCACCATAGTTCTCAGGACCAAATGAACACCAATACCTTCAATAAGAAGTAATACAATTGAAACCCACAAGTGAAAAAAAAATGAGATTTTTAGTTACTTGGGAGAAGGTTTGAAGAAACTCACAGTCTATATTCCAAATACTCGTCGCTCTTGTACTCTTTGAGACTGCCTCGAGAACGTTTCCTTCCTCTTTCGATGTGAAATCGTGTTGGGCACTCTGCATTTGAGCATTCTCCGATGATGAATTCATCGACCCTTGCGTATGGAACAAGTGCTACTTCGTCGTGATGCTCCGACGTTCCGAATTTGGTCCAGGTCAAATCAGCCCATGAAAAGTCTTCTACGTGTGGGTTTTGAACTGGAATCTCTTCTAATGATTCGACTATCTCCATCTCTGTGTATAGTTTTAGAGTGAACTGTGCAGCGACTGCACAGGCCCCAGAAAATTAGGGTTTGTGTTGTTTTCTACAGAAGAATTGAAATGGGAAGGAGGATGAAGAATACTGGAAACGAAATGAGGAGTTTTATTACAAAAGAACCCTTGTACTATTTATTTCTTTCAAAACTCGACCCATACAGTTTCTCTTTTGTTAATTTTGGCCTTTTGTATTTAATTATTCAAAAAGAGCCTTAACTAATGATGATGTGTTGTTGTTATAGCTCAATGTAAACGATGAATCTCACACCCTTAGATGTAAAAAGTCATATCTGTTATATTATTAGTTGTTATGTTGCCAAGATAGCTTTTGTCTCACAAATAACATATATTTACTCATTTTCTCGTAGAAAACTAGTTTTACAAAATTTTAACCTAAATTTTCTATGTTGTTGAGCACGACATGATTTGCTATTTTATAACAAGTAGATATTACAGATTCTATTTTGACTAGTAGATATTTTCCTACCAAGAACGAATTTATAATCTGCAATAATTAATAAATCTAAAAATAAAAAATATTTTTAATATAAGCGATGTTTTAGCCAATCTGTTTTGTTTCAATATAAGTGATGTTTTCAATTTCTTATGCAAAAATTTAATATATTTAATATCTTTTGACCAATTATATTTTACATCATATTTTTTTATTGGTTGAATTCATATTAGTTAATGATGTTTTTATGGAAAATGGATAAGTTATATGTTTTATTATTTAGTGTGTCAAAACCTTAAACATCACTTATAATGAAACAAAGGGAATAGCAAATATAGTTTACAGATTATATGCTAAAAACTAATGCATTAAATATAACTTTTATATCAAAATTTAAAGCATAATGAAACATAAAAGCAAAACTTGAGTTCCTATTAAATATTTTTTATGAGAACACCACTCTACTCTATATTATTTCGCTGTCACTAATCCTTCTAATGCAGCATCTAATTCAAATGATCATCAAAATACAAAATAAGATAAATCATAAAGTCATATACTGTGTAATTGTTTGGAAAAGTTCATGATCACACGATTTTTTAAGAAACTTAAAAAAAAAAAAACATAAATGACATTTTTCAGAAGTCATATGTAGTTAAAACAATTCAAACATTTGTAGTCATGAACTTTTAAGAAAGATTGCTATCCAAAATCAGATAAATCAGAAATGTCATTTCTTGTGCAATCGTTTGGAAAAGCTCACAATCACAAGATGTTTTTGAACACTTAAAAAAAACAATAGAAGATGAAAATATTCAGTATTCATATCTAGTTAAAGCAATTCAAAACAGTTCTTATCATGAACACTTTACAAAGATTTATATTACAAACTCTGCCAATTTTTGTGCGGTACTATCAGCCGTGGAAAAGAGTTTATAAGTCTCACCAGTACATATATTATATTAAAAAAACTAAAAATACTCATGGCAAAAATTGGTTTTAACCGACGTTATAAACAACCATCTTTATAATGATAATGATAAGTTTTTTTGGCAGTTTAGCTTAGAGTTATAATTATAAAAGCATCGCCCTTGTGTGGGGGAACAGTCCTCCATCTATTATCTCAGCTCTTCCGACAAGAGCAGTTAAGCATTTTCCTATGAGGTGAGTGTGCTAAAACAGGTTTAGTCAACTTCTTACTAATCTTTGTTAGCCAATTTTGTAGCCCAAAAGTCTTATTATTATGGTAGACAATATCTACTATAATATTTTTGCAAATAAATACTAGAGTTGGATTTATTTATTTACATCCATGTCATTGCATTAACTGTTAAAGATATTAATTTCTATATAAATATTCACTAATGTATTTAAAGAAAACAATTTAGAAAGTATGATATATATATATATATAACATAATTTTAAATTTTTTATGCTAACGTTTTATGATACATACTTCTTATGAATGAAAGAAAATATGATATAACACATATATAAAATAAAAGTTTTCGTGGCTATAAAAATTAAAAGTGTCGAGTTTCAATCATCGCATAAAAAGGGAATTAAGTTTAAAAACTCCATCTCCATTATCTATATACTTGACAGTAGATTATTTTCTAACATATTCATGCATTTTTTTGAAAACAAATATGCAATGAAAAAAATTTCTTTTAATACATTTATTATAAAAATATCGTTATAATGTTTATTTTAGTTTAAGGTCTAAGTATTTTTTTTAAACAACAAAAAACTTGGAGAAAAAAACATTCCTTAAGATTAAAAGAAACTAAAATCATACGTTAACTGAAAGTTAAATTTAGTTAGAATAGAAATTAGAATAAAACCTCCCACTACATCATTTTTACTTGAAAAATGTAGAAAACAAGTCGCCATTTTTTGCAACTTTACCCTCCAAATCTAAAAAATGTAAATCAATCCAGAAAAGTTAAAATAAATACACAATATAGCCTATTTCCTCTACTATCATGTTCGTAAGAATATTCGAAATAATATATCATATCGAAGCCCTCCTAACTAGAAGTTCAAATATATCTTTAGAATTTTCAAAAATAAATGTATGTGACTGTAAAAATCGTTTAGAAAAATAAATGTATCTGGTATAAGGCCTGTAATGCGTATTATTCTTGACTTAGTATGATTGTTTTACATTTTTGGATATGGAGGGTAGAATTGCAAAAATTGACGACTTGAAGGGTTAATTTGCACAAAATTAAATCATATGAAGATGAAATTATGAGTATGAAATCTAGAACTATAAACTCTTGGGAGATTTCGAAAACTATTTAGATTGAAATTCATATAATTTTCTTTTTAAAAAAAGTTTGCCACTTACAAAATAATATGAATTTGAACTATTATGTTTGAGTATATATCAACAAACAAACAAATTAATCATGTATGAGTTTATATTAACAATTTATTTTCTAAAATAATGTATAACATATGTTTACTATATGTACATTTATTTTTAAAAAATATTATATAGCATATATACAGTTTATATATGTATATACATAAATAACATAGTTAAGTAAAAACTACTAGAATATGAGCAATTGTAAGATATTAAATCTTCGAAACCTTTTAAATTGCTCCTAATTATAATAACATTGAAACATTTTTTTATAAATATTCCATGCTACGCCGAGTATTTAATCTAGTTTGAAAGTAAATAAAAGTTTTTCCAGCTGTGTACTGCGATTAAAATATAGTATCTACTTAAAACAGTTCAAAACATTTGTAATCATGAACTCTTTACAAAAAAAATCATGTCTACCAATCGTCATCCGTAATACAAACATTTCTTTGCCTGACGGCAACATACGGAGAAGATCTTGTAAATCTCACTACTCGAAGTTTCAAATGCATCAGATGCGGAAAAGAGTTTGTAAGTCTAACCAGTACATTTATGGTAAAAACTAAAAAGACTCATGGCAAAGAGCCAATACTCTCGGTTCAGTACATAGTTGACTTAAGTATAGTAAAGATTCACTTACTTATGCACTTGAGAGGATGGATAGTTCAGCGTTTCCCACCACTTGATTTATTCCCTTAAAAGTTTCTTCCAATTTTATCTGAAAATATATTCTCAAAAGTTTCAACCTACGAAGTGCCATTGGGAGAGAGGTACGACATTTTACAAAATTGAACTACTTTCGAAATGTATGTTCATTCTATATAGTGATGACTAGATACAAATACTCAAAGTAAAGCAACACCCAAGTAATGTCTTGGAAGCCCAAAACCTTTAATTCTAGGAGCATCTTTTTAAAAATATAACAAAAAAAAAGAGATAAGCTATAGTGCACCAGCCGGGAATCGAACCCGGGTCTGTACCGTGGCAGGGTACTATTCTACCACTAGACCACTGGTGCTACTTGTTTAATGTTCTATAAAACAGGATACAGACACCATCAGTAAGATAGATAGACTATCCCCTAGCTAGAACCCTTTGATAGGAGTGTATGGACTATGATGTGATCACTTGGGACACTTGGTTAAGCTTATAAGTCCCCCATAAGCCACTAAATACGTCAGACAAGCTATTTTCATTTCGCATAACGAACAACTCAGTGTATACTGATGTCTTGCGTAGCAAGAATCGTAGATAGAGCCAACTATAAAACTTATCGAGCGACCAACTCGTTTGCTGTGGCAAAAAAAAAAGAGAGCTCAGACTGGCGGCCATATATCATCTGATAAGTCAGAAGAATGCGAAGGACCCAACCATCGCTGTAGCCAATTTCCTCACAGCTCAGATGCACCAGCCGGGAATCGAACCCGGGTCTGTACCGTGGCAGGGTACTATTCTACCACTAGACCACTGGTGCTATTTGTTAACAATTCTGCTCTGTGATCACTTGAGACACTCAGTTAAGCAAACCTTTTACCCCCAAACTAACACGTCCCGTTGATTTAATTGACTTTTGAATTTGATACACAAATATATTTTAGCACATTCATAAGTCTTGAAAATTATGGTGAATATAGTCTGCAAATTCAACTCGAGTAAAATCAATAATAAAAATGATATATAAAACTCCAAAAATATATACCGACGTAAATGATCAATTGAAACGAAACAAAAGATAAAACAAAAACATCAGGTCCCGTGCCAGCACCAATCTCAACCACAGAAACTCCAAAGGCATCTCTCAAAAGAATCCATTATAAAAAAAGACAAATAATGCAACTCCTATATAGACAAATTGATCTGTTAAAAACTATGCTAAATAGAACGACCAAAACAAAATGAAGTGAAGCAACAACCTCTAATCCCAAACACAGACAAGACTGTATAGTCTGTTAAAATAATATATTTTTTCTTACAATTATTTCTGTTTTCAAGAAACATGAAACCAAAACAATTCTGGACATATGCATGGTTCCAAATTTGCTGGTATTATGTTGTTTTCAAGACAAACAAGAGGCTGCTTCACTGGTTTAGAAAGTATGTAAATATTTCTCTTTGAGGTTTTACACTCTGGTTTTGGACTTTCATGATTTATATATATGAAACAATCAAAACTATATGTTATACAAACAATAATATACATATACTGCTTCAAGAAAGCAATCAGGACAGTTCTTGATTTTGATTTCTCTTATAAGAGTCTGCCTTAATTACTCTAGAGAAGGAAAACAAAAAAACTAAACACGTTCTAATCTTCTAAACACTTTTCATACAACGGGACAAATCAGTAGAGTCCGTATGAAGTAACAATATTATTTGCTTTCCTAATCATTTTACATTTCCCCTGTAGGTCATAAACATATATCATGATCTGAATGGACTCCATTTCTCGCTGGCTTCCCGATCTGTAAGCAATCGATCGGTGGGACTGTTGTCGAAATGAGCTCTCCGAATGTTTTCCAGCAAAACGGATCAGACATGTGGTATTGTAGTTGCACTGGTTTTAGCTCTATGCCTGACAGTTGCACGTCTATGCAAGGGTAACTGTCGCTGCAAGCAAAATGCACAGGCTTCACGGTGTAAGTCCCTCTTATCTTCTCATATGTGACTCCTTCCACGGACACAGCTGAAGTATGGTTCATGCATTTGCTGTGATCGCAGTAGAATTGATCGATCACTATTGGAAGCTGAACCTCTGTGAGTTGAATGTTTGAGAAAAGTATTCCTTTCACTGATCCTATACCTCCCTGTATTCACATATTGAAGCTGTTAAGTTTCATTGGCTTCCAAATCAAAACCACTCGTTCCATTTTTTATGAAAGGTTTTATCTTTTTTTTTTGCTTTACCTGCCAAGTCTTGATCCGGACACCAGTCATTGTGTTGTGCATAACTACATCTCGGACTGTTATGTTAGAAACACAAGCTTTGGTACTGTCTTTGCCAAGGCTCCCAATGCTTATTCCATGTCCTGGTCCACAATTCACATTGTGAACATACACATTGGAGCAACCCGTTTGAATCGAAATACAATCGTCTCCTGGAAAAACAGAGGAATCAATCAACGATATTAAGACCTGATTTTTACGAGTTTTAACGATGTTTTATTCGACGAAATTTGGTTTGTACCGCAAGCTAGTGTGGATGTGTGAATCATGACATCTTTAGTGTTCTGAAGATGAATCCCATCCGTGTTTGGGCTGTCTCCAGGAGAAGACACACTCACGTCATGAACTAGAACCTGGACGCAGTTATCAAACTTGAGGTGACATTGAGGACTGTTCTGAATGGTTATACCGGTCACAGTCACATCGATACTCCCATAGAACCGCAGCGCCTATACCGTAAACCCAAGGTAAGTAAAAAAAATATTCACTGAGTTGTAAAAACATGTAGAGACTACTTATTCATTTTAATATCTCACCGTTGGTTTAATACTTGGCATTCTCCCATTAAGCTCACTTCTTATCTGCCATGTGACAAAAAAAATACAAAAACAGAGTTTTGTGTTAGATGAAAAACTTGTGTAGGTATCAAGAATAAGATGAGGATGAAGATTTTTACCGGCATAGGAGGATGTTCTTGAACTGAATTATTCAACGGGACAATGAGCTTGAAGTCATCGTCGATAGGATAATCTGAAAGGTAATCTTGTTGCCACCAAACAGTGCCTCTTCCATCAATAACACCTTTACCTTGTATTGTGATTCCTTTAAGCTTCGTGAACTCAATCCACCACATTAACCCTCTTCCCCATGAATCAGTATCTGTAGGAGCTACGATCATCCCGTCAAGCTGCAACCAAACAAAAGAACTCACATCTTTTAGTTTCAAGAGGTATATTGATGTTTCAAAATGTTACAAGAATGTTGATGATCAGTTCTTACTTGGAATACAATGTTTGCTTGACAGTAAGGACCCGAGAAAGATATCGGGCCAACGAGGAATATGTATTCAGCCGGTACGATCATCGTTGATGCCTCGACTTTGCAGGCAGATGCCCAAGCTGCTTCAAACGCCTGCAACAAATTGTTATAACTCATCATTAGTTTTGTTTACTCATCTTAAGACCTTTAGTTAATTTTTTTATTTTTTGTCTTAGAGGAAAACATAATATGGAAGAAAAGAACAAAGAGTCTTGTGCCATATTAAATCGGGTACTTTTGTTGTCACTCTCTATATTAGTTTGTTTGTATATTGGGAAAGTAAAAAACATTGAGAGGAAAGAAAAGAAAAAGGAAAAAAGTTAATTGACTTTACAGAACAGAGAGAAAGCTTTTTATTTGTGGTGCTCTGTTTCTTGTTCTGTCTCGTGTTACCTTCTCAACTGTAATTCACATTATGGTTTGTTTTTTAAAAGACAATTCTAAAGAAAACGAGATTAAGATTCTTGATTTAATCAAGAACGACAAGAAATCATTTTGTTATGGATAATAAAGTACCTGAGTGTCATCACTCATGCCATCACCCTTAGCTCCAAAATCAAGCACATTGAATGCTTGAGAGTCCTCAACCGGCTGCAGCGGAAGGGGTGATGGTGGTGGTTGTTGAACTTGTGGCGGCTGTGACACGACAGGTGAACCGACATCGGGTTTTGGCGGCGGACTTTTCATCTTCGGTTTTGGTTTAGGTTTAGGTTTTGACTTATGGGAATGACTATTGCTCTCATGGCTTTTTGGTTTCTTGGTTGACAAGGAATCAGACAAGGAGGAGGAACTGCTATGGTGGTGGTGTCGTCTCAAATGTCTTCCTCTTCTGGCAATGCAGGTTTCTAGCGTTACAGACCAGACAAGAATTGAAACTAAAATCGTCATTGTGATGCTTCTAAGCATTAGACCTTTTCTCGTTATCATAGTGGTTCTAGGTTGTTGTATAATAATGTTCTCTCTTTTGTGGTGGTTTGAGACAAGAACAAGAACAAGAAGAGAGTATGGTTGGTATTGGTTGTTATAGAATGAAGAAAAAAGAATAAGGTTGTCAAGGGGGTTTATATAAGGAAACAATCCAAGAATATAGAACGAGTCACGGGAGCCTAAAATGGAATTTCATAATGTAGTACGTAATTAAGATAATTTGCACTAGATAAGCAAATATATACGATGGAAATTTAGATTATGACAGTATTTTTTTTTTTTGTTATCCAAGCAACAAAATGGAATAATATTGTACTTTTTTTACTTCTGTGTTTCTGTCATCTAAATTTTATACGGAACTAGTTTAGTACCCGTCCGATGGACGGGTTATCTATATTTAAAATTAAATTGGAAATATTTTCCAATTATAACATGACAAAAAAATAATTTCCAAATTTTTGTTTAAAAAAAATAAGAGAAATTAATTTCATTTGGTAAGAGATTTATTTGGTTTGAAGTATCAAATACACGTGTATATATATACATATATATATATCTTAAAATTCCTTATTAAACGTTAATTATAAAAATCTAGTAATGTCAAATTGACAATCACCAAAACATTTGGAAGTTACAGTAAAACCTCTATAAATTAATAATATTGGGACCATGAAAATGTATTAATTTATAGAGGTTTTAATTTATCGATAAATTAATTATTATTAATTTATAGAGAGATTTTCCTAATTTAGAAAGTTTTTCCAAAAAAATTTAAAAATAAAATGTAACAAAAACTAAAGTGACTATATATACATATATTTTGAAATTTTTACCTAATCATTAATTTATTATATTGATTTACAAAGGATTTTCAAAAAAATTATTATCTTATTATTTTATCAAAATGTGATTAAAATTACATTGGTCTGAGTTGGGACCAGAGAAATTTATTAATTTATAGAGAATATTAATTTATCGAGTATTAATTTATAGAGGTTATATTTGGGAGCTATTCATCATTACTCATAATATTGCTAAAATATTTTTAGAAATCTTAATTTAGCAATTATCCTCTAAAACATGATTATACCATTTTGTAAAAAAAAAAATTTTTAACTTTAAAATTTCAAAAAATCATTCTCAGACTATGAAAATTAATTATTTATTATTTAATATGATGGTAAAGTTCTTTCAAATTAACATCAATCTAAAATATGATGTTAAATACAAATATAGTCATTTGTAAATAAATTCATATAAACAACGCAAATAAACATAAAGATTCTAAAATAAATTATAGCATCGTTGAGGAAAACATTAAAAAATCTTTCAAATACGAATTATAAAAAACTACATATTTTCTTTAAAAATATTTTAAAATTACAATATTACGATTTATATTGAACTTTGTTATCTTTAATTTAAGCTAAAAATATTATTTTTTGAATTTTTTTATTCGCTCTTATGTTTTGGACAATGAAATTGCTCAACGGCATAATACATTCATACATAAATTAAAAATTAAACAAATATAACATATTATAAAATAAAAATCTTGAATAAAATTAGATATTTAGTTAAACTCAAATTCTAATTTATTTGTAAACTGTAAATCCTAATTCTCCTTTATGAACCCAAACTGATAAATAACCTTGTTTAATTGTAAAACATAAATCTCACTCCTCTTTAATAAACCCAAACCGATAAATAATCTCGTTTAATTATAAAATCTAAACTATAATGCAGATTTATAAACTCAACATATAACCCTTATAATTGTAAAACCTACAACTGACAAAACCAAAAATTAGGTTAATAGTTGAAAGAGAAGTTTTGAGAAATACCCATTTTGGTACACCAATTTTCTATCTATTTTAAAAATATCCCTTTTCAAATATGAAAAATTGTAAACTTTTATATAGTTTTTAAGGTACATCTAGATCATCATTACTATTAGGAGACTCAAAACAAATATTTATAAAGTTTTAAAAAGGTTATAAACGGTATTTATAAGACTTTTATAAGGTAATTATAAGGTTTAAAAAGTTTTTATATGTTTTTTAAATAATTTTAAAACGTTTTTAAAAGGTATTTATATGGTATTTAAATTTCCACACATAGAAAGATAATTTATGTCTAAATATATAAGCTTATACATTTTTTTTATAAATATCAATTTTTTTACTTTTTAATTATCAAAATACCCTTTTTCTATACCACTTTTTAAAAATACCCCTATTTCAAACTTTATAAAAAAAACCACTTTAAATGTTGAAATTCATCCAAATAAGTGTGAAAGCTTATAAATATACATACAAATTAGAGAATTTTTGAGAAATAGCCCTTTTGGTGTACTCCTTTTTTAAAATATCCCCTGTATCTATCCATTTTCAAAAATACCCCTTTTTAAATATTAAAAATTATAAAGTTTTATATAGTTTATAAGGAACTTCTATATAATAACTACTACTGGGAGATTAGATACAAATATTTTAAAATGTTTTAAATAGTTTTAAACCGTTTTTATAAGTTTTATAAGGTTTTTAAAAGGTTTTTAAAAGGGTTTATACGATTTTTATAAGGTTTTTATAAGGTTTTTATAAGGTTTTTATAATTTATTTTCACGCTATTTATGAAAGGTATATAAAGTTTTATACACATATAAAGGTAATTTGTGTATATATTTATAAGCTTACACACATATTTGGATAAATTTCAACAGTTTTAGTGGGTTTTTTGATAAAGTTTGAAAATGGGGTATTTTTAAAAAGAGGTATATGAAAAGGGGTATTTTTGAAACTCCCCCCACAAATTACCTTTATATATGTTTAAAATTTATATATCTTTCATAAATATCGTAAAATAACTTATAAATACCTTTTAAAAACCTTATAAACCCTTTTAAAAACCACTTAAAACCTTATAAAACTTGTAAAAACGATTTAAAACCTTTTAAAACATTATAAAATATTTGTATCAAATTTCCAAGTAGTAGTTATTATATAGAAGTACCTTATAAACCATATAAAACTTTATAATTTTTCATATTTAAACATGGATATTTTTGAAAATGAATAGATAAATGAGGTATTTTTGAAAAGGGGTACAGCAAAAGGGGTATTTCTCAAAAAATCTCTTTAATTTTTTATAATTTTTTTAATGTTATTTAAAAATTCTATTTGTATCTTAATATTAACAAAATTAGATATAACATATTGCGACATCTTATGTTTTTACTTGACACTTATCATGATCACGTGAGTTAGTAAATTTAAAAACCAAGTTTTGACATATAATCTCGTTTAATTGTTAAAGTTAAACCATAATTTTAATTTATAAAGATAAACCATAATTCTTATTTATCATTTATATACCCAAACCAACAAATAATCTGATTTAATTGTAAAAATTAAAGTTTAAACATTAATCCTCTTCTGTAAACAAAAACCGCCATATATTCTTGTTAATTATAAATTTTAAATCCCTATCTTATTAATAAACCAAATTGACATAACTGAAATTAGATTATTTGTTTAATTTTATTAATAATTTTTAATATATAATTCTTTATAATATTTATTTTATATATTTCCTTCTTCGATAAGGTTAATAATATTTCTATTTTATCCAAATATTAACAAAATTAGTTATGCCACGTGTCAACATCTTATCGTTTATAATTGACACGTGTCACGATCTTGTTATTGGCTGATTTTGAAAACCAAGGTTTATATAATAAGATATGTGTTTTTTTTTTCTCTTTCTTTTCTTGCGTCATGTTATTTATCTATTTTGATATCTAGTTATCTTCAATTGTTGGTTTTATAAGGTTATAGTCATGTTATGAGAATATGTGCTATTTTTTTATGTGCATATAATCAAATAAAATGATTGTTGCTGTTATATATCATGTGATCAATTATTTTGAAGTTTTATATTATATTATTATATTTAATGAGTTACATATTAATATACCAATTTATGAAAATACTAAATAAATATATAAATTTAAGAAAATACTATATAAATCTTCAGTTATTTCTTAAAGCAACTTATAAAATTTTCATTTTTTTTTTCAAATACAACATAGTATATACTCTATTATCATTTTACCAATGTAACACAACTTAATC